ACACACAGACTGTGAGTACGTGTCTTGGGTAGAAGCAGCCACTCGCTTGAGGATCTCGTGCAGCTGCGTCAGTTGCGGCGGCTTGGACACGTACTGCGCATGCCCGCTCATCGTCTTCCGTGTTGAGCACTGTTCGCTTTTGTTAGACAGGACTGGAGGAGGCGGCGCGGTGGACAACATACAACATGGAGAAGCGGCTTGAAAAATCTGATGAAATAGTTGGCCTCAGTCGGTTGTTCTCGACTCTCTGGTTGGGATTTCAGAGATACAGAGTGTCACTGGTTGGAGACCCTAGAAGTCATGCCAGACGACTGACGTCAATGGCGGACTTTTATATCTGCATATTGCGGTGATTTCCCTTTCCTTCCTCAATAAAACAAACAAACAAAATTACTCAACAACTGGGTGAAAAAAAGCAACTGAAAGATATGCTGCATCTTGTTTTTCTTCCTATTCATATCCTGGTTTCTTATTCCGCTATGACACAATAACTGTACCACAGATTGTGATATATATATATATATATATATATATATATATACGAGAGGGCAGCTACTACTCTCCAGTTGTCCGTTCCGAGAGATTCTGTTCTAGGTGGCCTGCCTCTGACCTTGACTCAACATTCTCTTACAAGGCAGTGGTGCGTGTCCAGCTCGGGGTTGTGGTTACAGCGACTGGTCACGCGCAGCTTTTGACAATTTACTACGGTCCACATACGTTTTTCGACGGTACGGTGCTGCGCACCTGTGAACCCTGCTTGTCGCAAATGAGAGGTGACGGGTTTGCACCAATTTGACTATGGGCGGTCTGGCTTGAGGCGAGAGGTACCAGACCTTCCCCCACTGAGTGGTGTTCTCCCACTGTCAGAGACAATGCTGGACACTCATGCTCTACGGTTATCCAGATGCATGTTGTCTTCCATGATTAGGTAGTGAAAGAAGGAGACCATCGGCCACTTCCCAGTCTCCCAAGTGGATTTTGTGACGGTATTGATCTGACCAATAACCATTGACTTACCTGTTATTAGTGGCTCTGAAGGAAGTTAGAAAGTTCACCCAGCGTAGCCCCTTTTGTCATAGAGACAGGTAACCCAACACATCACTTCAGTTGTGGTGTTCGCCGAGCTGAGTAGCTTGATCGTAAACGTTTCACCACCATTAGAGATGACATCTTCAGTGCGGTCTTGATGACATTCAGGTAGCGGAAGCTGGTAGAAAGCGAATCCAATGACGGATCATCATCCGTCATCATCCAGCTCCTGCTATCCGACTTCTATCAGTACTGCACTGAAAATTTCACCTAGATTGGTGTCGAAATGTTTATTATCAAGCTATTCAGCTCGGCGAATACCACAACAACTGAGCAAGCCTCCCGAGGTACCAAGTAATTTCGACCATCGCACCACGTTAAATTCCAGTCTCGTCGGAATGTTGACGCTTAAACGAGAGAACCTCAGCGCTATTTACTCTATGCTCTAACTTGTAGACGCTCCTATGAATCGGTGCACGTAAACAACTCTCCGGGCGGACATTAAGTACAGACAAGCCGAGTAATAGGGTACAGTTGCGCATTGTTGATCTTCCATATTTCTGCGAACTCTACCAGTTTCGTCATTCACTTTTTAAAACCGTTCGTTTGCATAAATTTTTACACTTTCAGGAGCATTTTTTGGAGCATCCGTGCAACCAGAGTCCTCATCATTGGCCTGTGTCTTCTCTATTGCATTTATGTCTCTGCCGATTCGTTTCTACACCGTGTTCCGTTGAAGACATTGTACCTGAGGGCCAGACACGCAACCTGTTTGCTCACTTTTGCCGAGTTATCATCAGTTTAGATGCAGATATGTATCTGATGGCTACCGAGCGCGTGTTCGGTGCCGAGTCCGGATCTCACTCACCACCGCACCTCGACCTGCCTGTGAAGAGCGTCGTTCCCGATTCCACCTGGCTACGGTGGCACCAGCTAATCACGCGTTGTGTACGCCCTGAGCAATGGACCCTTTGGACAAGTGACACTAAACCCACCACCCATTCGCATTTTTCTGAGACGGGTAAGTAACCCAGTGGGTTATCCGCCATTAGTACATGTCGGATTGTGTGGTTGTCTTCAACGCATCACTTTTATCGTGCTCCATGATATATCCTAAATTCAACTGTGATTCGACGTTTATCCTCCGAATAAACCAGTGGCCACTGCCTTGGCTTTTTATGGGTACCCCTTGTAGTTCGCTTTAACATACGAGTTTTGTGTGATTCGCATACCCACCTGCACCATTTCGAACAGCGAGACTGTTAGATCTTCCCACTTGGGCTATTCCGGCCGACAATTATGAGCTTTTCATAAAACTTCCAACCCCCAACCGAGAAAAACTAGAATGGTCCCCGAACAGAGCAACCTAGTAACCACGTTGCCACAAACACAGAACGGAGCGGAGTCCAAGACGCTGGTCGTATCTATTACTCAGGTCAGGTGAATACGATCCGATTAACACACTAACAGTGGGCTCCCCAAGGTCACAACAGACGCTTCACCGAACGAGCGTCACATCGAGTGTTTCAGATAGCAATTCTGGCTCTCCAGCTCTGCGATATTATTCAACCATTTTTCCGTTTCCTATCTGTCAAGTACTAATGTCATAGTTTAATTTTGTCGAGTCAAATTCTCTTCTCCTCCACTTTAAATCGTGGTTTTGACCCTTGTCACCCTTTGTTCTCTTATCGACGGAAATAGCAACAGTAAAAGTTTTCATAAACTCAGCAAAATTTCTTTTATGCCCTCAGACTTAAGGGGCTTTCAGTACCCCATGGCAGGTGCCTGCATGGCAGTGGAGGATGGGTCGGGCTATATCGCAGTTAGCTAACAATTCGTGATGGTCGGCTACCGTCCTCCATGGCGCAGTTGCATAAGCTGCGGGCTAGTTGGCACAAGCTACTAGCAGTCATGGGTTCGATCCTCCGTAGAGGACCGAAGGATGCGCACCACTGACGAGCCCCAATAGGGCGAAACGGCCGTCTGGTGCTTTTCCGGATAGGTAGTTGACTTATCTGGATTGTCGGCTGACTGCGACGAACAAAAATACTCACAAAAATCCTTCTACTCATAAGACTACATTTTATTGGTACGATCGATTACGCACATTTCTAGATGCAGCGGATTGTTTGGAGATTCTTTAGTTGATGTGAGCAATTCTAGACATCTTGCTGATTGCAACAATTTTTCTTCTTAGGTACTAACTTATCGATTTCATTTAAATTACAATCATCTTTCGAAAACGCTCTCTATCTTTTCTACTTGTTCGAAATTCAAAACTTTACTCTCCCACACTCCATCCCATTGTAATACCATCTTACCTCATCTGTGACGTTTGCTTGTTGACCCAGCGAAAGTCACAAACATGCTGCGCGAGCGCTTGTTGGAGTAACAGTTCTGCTTTTTTTCTCACTTTTCTACCCAAGCATATACATAGATATTATCATCCAGGTGTCCGCAGTAGTGGTGTAAATGCTGAAAATAAACCCATTAAGGTGTGTAAAGCTTATTTGACGAATCCGAGTAAGACCAACCTACTTTTTGCTTGAATACCGTTAAATTCAGCTGGCTGCGGACTGCCAGGCATTGGATTCACGACACATTTATTCTCGGTTCCCCGTCATATACTTCAGACGAACTCCATCATCAGAGAAGGCTGGACAAACCTGCAATACCAGATTTATGGGGAATTCTTGTGTACCACGCTCTTCATCAGGCACGCCGCACACACCACAAACCTCGTGGTCCCGTGTACCACTTTAGCTGAGTGCTTCTCCACGGTTGACTAAGTGTCTAGAATTCCCCACTGTTTATGCCATCTAGCTGACTCGATCTACTTACATTTTCATAACTTCAGGATTTATTCCATGGGATTAAGAATGTTACCTTTCAACAAGGAGTATCACATTTTATCTTCGGTGCGCAATCCATGACATCAAATTTTTGGGTCAATCGGAAGGCAGTTCATGATCATTCCACCTTGCATAGATAATATTTGCTCATTGCGACAGCGTTGCGTCAATACATACGACTATTTGTGCAGTCTGCCGTCTTTATTATTCAGCTTGCTTTTTTCCCCTTCCACTTGGACAATTTTATTCGCGTTGTTATTGTTGTTGCTGTTGTTGTTGTTTGCGGTTTAAAGAAAGCGCAGTTGAACCTGAAAGCCTCAATCATGGCGCATCGGTAGTTCTGATCTACTCGTCTATCTTTTGCTTTGTCTTCGAGACCCTGCATCAGGGTTTCCAGCTGGTGTCTTCAGGCTGCACAACTAGCTATTTTATTACTGTATACAGGGGATTTTCCAAATGCGGAAGAAGGATCAACATCATCACCAAATCCGTCAACAGTCGATACACAGCCTCCGCTCAATGACCGCATGGGTTTGGTGGACTGGACTTGTCTGCCGAATGAAACCACTGCCACAGAGTTGGACACTCTCGTTCGCTACTCTAAGGACCTATTCGTGTCGGATGAGCGTCGCAGTCCGGCCTTGCAAATACCGTCGTCATCCGAGGATTCGGATACCTATGTGACCGGGTGTTCGTCCACAGAGATCGGTAGGGAGGCCGAAGAATACATGTCGGAGGATGACAAAAACCGCCCGCTTCCTTTTGCATCTGATTGTGGTGCCTCCAGCTGCCCCGAAAAGCAATCCGTTCACAGTTCGGACGACAAGGAAGGTTTAGTGAAACCGATCCCCGTGATTTGCGGTAAGTGCAATATCTACCTCGAATTCATGTACATACTCGCCTTCTGCGTCTGTCCATTGGAATAATGGAGCAACGATTTATAACGGTTGACAGGTCCGGTAGGATGTTTCGGGCGAAAATTCCAACATAACAACGCAGTGGTGACATTGTAATAAGCATGTTGCTGAACTCACCAAGAGGTTTGCAGCAGCACAGACACTGGTTTTCCTGTCTGGACTTTAAAGGAGTCTGTTGAGTATGCCGCTTGTTCTACCCTAATGTCGTTTTATGGAAACGGGCTATACCATGGTCTGTAAATGTGCCGCGGTGTCACTGAGTCGTCTTTTGAACAGCGCTTAGGTGGTGGCATTAAATAAGTGGGCTAGAAGTGTGCCAGGTCTGTGGCACTCCGAGAGAGAAATTTCGTCGACGTTCCATCCGGCTGTACTGCGTTGGCAGCTTAAACTGATGCCCTTCAGAGATGTGTTTTCATTGTTACACTATATGGTAGTTGGGGTTTTTAAGATCTGATGCTCCATTACAGGATCGCCCCGTTGACGCCGATAGCGTCCGCTGGTTGGGTTGGTGTGACAAGCTCCTGATGATCATTTTAAATGGGGTTTTTCATTCTCTTAAGTGCGGTGAGATGTTGCTTCTGCCAAGGCTGCGAGACTCGTGTGGCACATTCTACTTGCGGCCTCATGCGCACCAGGAATTTGCTGTAAAACTGTTCTCGAACTTTCCACACGCCCTTCGCAAAACGCCAAAACTCTGGTTTGCTTTCTTCTCCTTCGGTCTGCATCACACAGCCAAGGTCATCTTGCATGAGCACACTGAGATCTCTTTCATAGGAAGCGCGCTGCAGAATTTGTGGCCTTAGGCAGTATTTATGAGTGCTTTGATGGCGTATACGTAGAACTTTGCATTTGGCTATCTCAAACTATAGCCTGTTCTCAGTGGACCATCATGTAAGCTCTACTTAGATTTTTATTGCAGGGATGTGTGATCACTCACTGTATTGATAGCTTTCTTTCTCTTTATGTCACAAGAGAATAGTGCAGGGTGGCGCACGATATGTCATACCATTTGTTTTGTTCATTACACATGCAGTATTATAAATGTAATGTCGAAACCTCGTATTCTTATACTTTGGTTTGTAGAAAATCCGGTAGATGTCACGAGAAGGGAGTATGGGATGTTTTCTTGGCGCCAAACCCAATTTTTAAGATGGCGCATAAGAGCAGATTGCGTGTTGAACAGAAGGTGAAAGTTGTAATGTTTTTTTTACAGAAACGAGGAGTTTTGTAGCGGCACAAAGATGTTTTCGTGCATACTTTCGTACCAAATTGGCTCCATGTAAACAGACTATTCAGTGATTGTATCGCTAACTGGCTCTGTGCTCGAGGAGAATCGATGGCGCGGACCAAGTGTTCAGACCCCTGGAAACATAGCAAACATGGAAGCTTGTAAGAGGTTGTGAAATAAAGTGGTGGTCCCATTGAACACGTAGTATATTGAACTAAATTTCCATGCCTATACAATTAATCATGCACTAATTTTGTAATATTTTGGTGATAAACAAATGTGTAAGGAACAAAACAAATGGTATTACATTTCGTGCGCCACCTTCTCGAAAGGTTAAAGATAGCACCTTTGCTAGACCAAGAACAGGGGTGCTTCGACTGTTGAGTTACGTCGCACTGGACTTTGATAGGGTCAGATAGAGTGCTCCAAACCCAGAACTGGGTCACGGATTCCATAATTTTAAAGCTTGAGAAGCAAAATATGATGATACAGAAGGTCAAACGCATGCAAGAAATTTCCACGACAATCTGTCAGTAGGCTCGTCGTGCCTGTCCGATTTTGGCGATCACTATGCTACCTCTGAGAAAGAATGTTGTTACTCTAGTTAATCCACGAGTGCTTCGGTGGTAATGGACCTTATAACCTTGGTGATCAAGCAACACGGTAGTATCATCCGTTAATTCACTGGTTCTGCACGGATTATACTCTTATGACTTGTAGTGACGATTCCGTGCTTCCACACTGTGGTGACCTGCATCTTGCTTAGACATCCTTGGAAGAATCTGGTCAACAGTTGAGCTAAACGATTGGCAGCCACCTTCCTCGGGTTTTTGGCGAATGTCATCTGTGCCATGTGAGATGTACTCGCATAAGGTCATTTGCCGTTTCAACACATCCATTGCGGTAATGGATACCTGGCTAAACCGTGGAGTCCGTGTGATCTGCGCAAAAAGAATGTTCGATGACGACTGGATTGTTAACCAGGAAATTTGGTCACCTCTTGTAATCCCGCATACAGTGTCTAGAGCAGGGATTCCTCCCCTGATTAGGGAGTTTGTTCATGCACCTATAAATTGTCGCGGATGTGGCCTTCCAAGAATCGAAACCAAAGTCTGCGCCTCGGTCAAATTCTATTATCCATGAACAAAAGGACCATTATATATCTTTCATGAGTTTGAATCATTCACAACACGGTGCATTTTTCCCGGTTGTTTCCCTCATGGTGTCCACTTTGGCTTTGCTCGTGCTATTCCACGGTACTTCCGTGCTTGGTCTAATCGACGCGCTCAACCGTGTAGTCACCGACGCTAGCAGACAAGGGGTTGGCCTGATGTTTTCGGTGCTAGCGATCGAGTTCCGTTTGGGGCCATGGCTGCTCGCCCGTCAGTCACCACCATGTAAAGTGGTGGCCAACTCGATCAGTAGGACCGTAGCTGGATCGTACGGAAATTGGGTGTCGCCTGCCCCTGTGACAGGGATTACTTGTGCTATGCTTTATGAATGCTCCAACCGAAATACAGACTGAACTTATTCGCTATCTCGTCCTTCTACAGTGGCGGATCATACGCATTTGAGCTGTTGGTCGCACCTGTCGGTCCGTTGTTTACTCCCAAAATCTCGATTTACCCTAGCGTATACATATAACGTATCGGTCGGAACAACTGTACCAATTCCTGCAGTAGCCCATAAGAACTCCTTTTTTTCACCATGTCTCCGATACTCCCCATTCACTTGGAAGTGCCATGCCTCCCGTTTTAATATCATACCTATTACGCTACTGGCTCTTGTAATCAAATGAATTTCGACCTAACGTGGGTTTTTTTGCAAATAAATTCTGGTCGTTTCATCAGCTTTCAAATTTTCGATCCTTTTGCTGTTTTTGCATAAGGCATGGTGTGCTTGCGCATATCAAAATCACACCCGAGGCCTGTCGTTTACCTTTCAGACAAATTCCCTCTTCATGAGACCGAATCCATTTCTGGTAGCGAATTGAAGCAACGCTTCGTTGCATATCTGGTACACATGCTTGACACTGCCTGGTCTATGCTTTTGGACAGCTCGCCACCAGTCGATCCATCTGGCTCCCTGAATCTTACTACCGTTACCATCCACAGTGCGACACCTCGGAGTTCCCTCATTTCTGTTCTGAGACCACCACTGTGGTTGGTATACAGCTTGCTGGGTCACCCTTGGGTCGAAATGCGTGAGGCAGTAAGTCAAGTTGCCCTGTTTACCTCAATTGCTGATTTAATCCCCTTCAAGTCTAGTGTTTCTTTACGAATGGTTTCTGTTGTTTCGTAGCTGACTCCTTCACCCCACGACCGCAAGAAGAACTCCAAAGACGTGCTGGGAAAATATCGTATGCAATGAATCATGTCTGTTTAAACCGTTTTAAGGATAGTCTGAAGGGAAGCTACTGAAACCCATTTCAGCCAACCATATTGCTAAAAGCATGCAAGCAAATGAAGCCAATGAAGAGTGATCAACAAGGGAACCAATAAAATACACGCACGAACGGAGAGTGTTGGCAGCCAAGGGGCATTGCGATCAGAAGGCGAAAACAATGATCACAAGCAGCCGATTGACAGGTGGGCGCGAAAGCCAATTGCCAACGCGCAAGTGTTTGCCACAAAGCGTGCTTAGGACAGACCCCGCGAGCGTGTTACCACGGCCCGGCCGGAAGCTGATGAAATCGCGCATCAGACATCATGCGTCTTGCCAAGGTCTGACCGGAAGCTAATGTAATCGCGCGTCAGACATCATGTACGTTGCCATGTCCCTTGTAGACGGATGTAGACTGGCGTGCACGAGCAAGACGGTGAACTGGCCAGACGGAGCGGACAGTCAAGTCTGGAGCTTGGGCGTACGAGGAAGACAGGTAGCCAAATCAGCCAGGCGGTGTTTAGCGGATTGGTAAGACCGACCTATACATATGAGCGTTCTCGGTTCTAACAGACCTCTGGCCAGCTGTCTTCTTCTGTTTTCCTTCCTGTCGGGTTGGCCAAGTCGTCAAGCAGAGCAAGCGTAAGGGCGCAGATTTACCAGCAGGCGTGAACTAACCGGTCGATTGCGGGAAGAGCGTCATAACACCAATAAAACTAGCGGAATGATGTGTTTAAACAAATGTCACTAACCGCGATAACTGAAGGAAACCAATCGGTAACTAGGACTCATAACAAATAATATATGTCCACTTCTCCATCTCCTAACTGTTTCCAAAGTAGGTGCTCTCACCTTTAGCTCATAACCAGTCGCGTCAGTCGTGTACTGCGGCGAATATCCGCGAATTTGTTTAATACACGGGATAACATTATGGAGCTTATTATCAAGTTTACCTTTCGATGTGGTTATCTACCGTGCACTCCACTTGCCACGTCCCCTTTTACACCCAGCTGCCTTGGTCAGTGGGTAATTTTACATAGATGAATGACTAATATGTAATGAATGGCTTTTTTGCTCTGAATCGAATATGTTTCATGTCATCCTGTTTGTTTCAGGGCTTAAATGGTTATCGAACGTGGCTGAGGCATGCGGCTTCGAACGAACGGGCTCTCAAGCGAATTCTAGGCAAATCGAACAAGCTCAACGAGATAATCGCGGCGCAACTGCTATTGTTGCCTCCACCACTGCATCTGTCCGATCCACAACTTCAAGCCCGTTCAGCTATCAACCATCGGCACATCTGTTCACTTCGACTGATGAATAACTCCTTCGCCCTCATCTTGGACGAGTGTCCCGCGCCTTCGTTGCATCTTCTGCCGCCAGTCGAGTTGATTAGGGTAGGCACCAGTTTACTTAACACAAACAAATAATCGTGCTAGCTTATGGAAGGATACTTGGTGTTTTCAGTTTTTTTCCGAACACTTCTTTTTGCAGTGGCCGAGTGTCCCCGGTGCCACAACAGAATGCAGCATACTTCTTGGGGTTACATTCTCAATACCTCTTCACACAATGCGTTATGCGTCTCGTGATCAGCCAGATTCCGTGGTAACAAGGTTGTTGCGGACCCGGAACGCTTTTTTTCTCAAACGCTTACTAGTAACCCGCAACCGTCCCCAGCAGCAGATATTTTAGACGTTGCTTGCTCCAAAACGGTCGGCTCTAGGGCAAGTTTCGTTCCTTATTAAACTTTCCAGGCGTATTGGATTGAGGAAGGTTCGATTTTAAGAAACTCTTAGTCCATATTGTGATTGCGCTTTACCTTCAGATGTCGCAGTGTGATTCTCAAGTCAACAGAGAGATCAGGTTCAAATTTACAAAGTGTGGGTGGAGTTTTTATCACTAGTCACTTGGTCCTCATATGGGATCTACCGCGAGTTACGGCACACTTTGCCGAATCAAGTCTTTTTGACTCAAGGTTCGCGCACCAGTGGTCTCACGTTAGTTAGTGTGTGAACAATGCACGCCCGTGGGCAGTCTAAACGAATACCGGACTTTCGGTACATTTTTACATCCCTCATTCATTCTCAGTCAATGGCCATACCCTCTGCAAAGCGGTCCTCAGGTCTTATGCTTTACGCATGGAAGCTCGACAAGTCTCCCCGGCGTCATATCGTTAGAGAGGGGCGTGCACCACTTCCACATTGCCCTTTTGCAACGGGTTCCTTACACTGCAACCTTACCTACCATGTTTTCGAGAATAAGTATTCAACTTGAGCTTCGCAAAGCGAGATATGAGATATCTCGAGCGGTTTCATCAACAGCGTCCGCGACGGATTCCGCGCATCGGTTGGTCCGACAGACTTGCAGACACGAAGGTGTTGCGCCGAAGTGGAATGTATGTAGTGGATTGTATACTTTGGCTGAGACACTTGAGGTGGCTCGGTCATGTGTGGCGTGTGGATTCGACACGGATGCCGAAGCTTCGTTACCAGGACATAATCAAGTTGAGCCTATCACGTTCTTACTTTGCTTTCAGGTGTTGGGAATTGAAGGCGATTGGTCGGCATACATGGCGCGATCTGATTACGATGGCAGTTACCAAGGTGCAAGATAAAACCGTCATGCATGCGGAGAAGTAGCGCTCGTTACAGAAGCGACAAGCGCCGATGGGGTGTACTACATCGACGTCAGCTTGATGGTGCTGTAGCACATGCTGTCGCGAGCGCCTGAGTCAGGCAGGCCTAGTGAGCCACGAACAATGCCACTCGGGACCAACATCGAAAAGACGACGGGTGCTGTTGAGCAGAACCGGCGCAACGTTTGTAGCTACGCTACATTCGAGTTACTAACTGCCTGCTTCGTGCTGAATTTCTTTATTTCAGGTGTTGGGTTTGCTATCTTGTCCTTATGCTTCTTTACCTTATTTTAATGTCTATCTGTATAATCTATCTACTTACACACGTTGCTTAAACGAAGTGGCTAAGCTCTTTACTTTTATTCATGTTTGCTCTCTTTTTCTGCCATCTTGTTTATCGCAATTATCTCTATAACTAATTCATTTCTTATGCTAATTTAGTGAAGAGTTAAGTCTTTATACCGGTATGCCTTAACCGATTTATTTTATTTAATATCGTCATTCCAAGTGATTGGTTTTCGCTTCACATCTCCGTTGTGCTTGCACTTGATGTGCACGTTGACAAGGTGCCTACCTGTCTATTACCCACTACCTCGTCCATACTGGCTCCAGGAGACAGTTGGTCGTTGCTGGAGGGGACGGGGTGCACCGTGCTTTTGGTCGTGCTAGGCTCGAAGATTTGTTCAATGCACTCAGTGTGGAGCGGACTACGGTCCAGCCACCGTCTTGTGTGCACTTGATTCCCCAAATATAGCGTGCATGTGTTTGCCTGTGAAGGAGCGTGGGCCGGCTCCGTTGATGCAACGTGGCTCCCATCCACATGTCTCCCGGTCTTATTCCTTCGAGTTTACACTGCATATGGGGTACGTGGATGGAGCTGTGGGTGGTGCAGAGCAAGCCACCCGTGGTCCATCTAAAGGCGCAGGCGTCCTGTGGCTGGCCACAGTGACAGGCAAATCCGGAACCGTGTGCCGCCAACCCTACTATAGCATTTCCCGCAAAGTTGCATATAAGATCCAACATTTTGCAAAGAAGGAGCAAAATGTTGAAAAGAAGGTCCCAAACTTTGCAAAGAAAGTCCAAAATGTTGCAAAACCCCGTGCGATTGGTCGGCCGCTGAAAGCCAATCCTCTGACCTTAATTGTGTTCTCGTTGGCCGTATGCCAAGGTTCGGTGCGTTAGTTTGGGGAGGTGAGCGCGCTGCCCGTTGACTGGGTGAGACTTGTGAATGAACCTTAGAGGCATGCACTTCGACGGTGCAACGGGCTTGTATACGCCCCCCTCACGTCCGAAACGATGGATCACAATTGGTCTGAGCGCAATGAACAGCTGGAACATAAGCGCACGACCGAAACCATGTCTACGATTCTAACGTCGTCGGCATGCCTTCTCGCGTTCGACAGAGTATCTCATCAGACATTCGTGACCGAGTTTTGGGTGCTTTCGTCAACAGTGATGACTGACAGCTTGTGGCAACTGTGAACAACGTCAAATATCAAACAGCCTACTCCTGGATTCGTCGTTCTCTTGACCAGGAGCGGAGTACTACGCAGGCGCGCGGTCGTAAGCGGATTTTGTCGGAGGAAGACGTAGATGACATCCTGGATTGGATCGCAAAGGACTCAACTCTTACGCTACGGGAAATGCGAGTACGAGTACGAGCAGAAATGGACATGGACATTTCGAAGTCAACAATCGCACGGCACCTAGATGGTCGATTGATAACTATGAAAAACATCTATCAGGTTCCCGATGGAATGAACAATGAGCGAACCAAAGGGATACGCAGGGAATTCGTTCAGCATTTTCTCCAACTTGAGAGCGATGGCAAGTTCTTCATTTGGATTGACGAAGCGAACTTCAACGTTTACTGCAAACGTACTCGTGGTCGGGTGCCCAGAGGAGTGAGGGCCTGTTGCAAAGTTGCCAACAGCAGAGGGCACAATTTGCATTTAATCGGTGCACTCACGATGGAAGGGAAAGTGTCGATGACCACCCGGAGAGGCTCATTCACAGGTCCCCTATCTCTCGAATGGCTGCGAAGCTATTCAGACAACCTGAAACGGGAGATGGAGCTCCGGCAGGTTGTCGTGGTATGTGATAATGCACCATGTCACACAGGACTGGAAGAACTGTCGTCATTAGTTGGATGTGATGGAGTAACCATACTGAGATTGAGCCCATACTCTCCGTTCCTCAATCCGATCGAGAATGTTTGGCAGGTGGTGAAGGCCAGAGTGAAGAATGAGATGAGAGTGCACTACGAGGAACTTCTGGCCGGAGATCCCCAGAAACTCATGAAGCAGATGAAATGCAGGCTGCAGTTCCTTGAACGCATTGCCAGAGCAGCCACCAAGGATATCAGCGTTGTGGGATGTCTTAAAGCTATTTGCCATATGCGTGTACATTTTACTGATTGTCTAGAAAAAGAAGACATGTTTTGATCGCGCTGCTGGCCTATTTTTACGTATCTGGTTGTATAGCATGTCACTGACAGCACGTAGGGACGTGTGAGTATTCACAGTGCTTTCAAAATATGTTTGCACATGCGTAAGTTTGTGTGTTCGTACGGGGTTGAAACATTATCGGATGTCTAGCGCAAGGGAGTGACACGGGACTGGCTTCCATTGAGCCATACCCGAGTGATATGTTCAACTTATGGACCTTTTCGTGCTGGTATTCGCTGCGCCTACTCTTTCATGATCAGCCTGAGATAATGTAGATACAGTTTCTTTGTTCGGAAAACTAGGATGTTTGGAAAGTGCTTTGTAGGACCAAGTGAGCTTGCCGGGTGAAGCAACCGTCAGATATATCACAGTATGGGATATCAGCGTGGATAGTTGAATAGTAGTGAATAAGAAATTACTGCGCACGTCATGTCAGGCTTTTCCAAGAGTGAGAGGAACTGCTAGATGCGAGTTCGCAAACACGTCCATTGCCAGACAAGATGTCGTCATTGAAGCTGATCGAATGAATCGCGTGTGTAATAGAAACCCTCTCTGTGCGATGTTTGTCCGCTGTATTTGAGTGCACTGGCGCGTTAATTCTTTACCCGATTGGAAGTTGGTCTGTCAAGTTCGGAACCCACATCAGCCGGTTCGGAAGCTGTACTTTAGGTTTAAAATCAACCATTCCCACAGCAAGTCTAATTTAATTTGCGTGCAGGAAAGGCCCGAATAGCTGTCCAGTACGACTTGGAGACTATCTTGATTGTTCGCATGATCCCTCGTTTGATCCAATAGCGTGCGTAGACAAATGGGGATGTAGTTGGCGTGGATACAGTGGCGTAGCAACTACTTTTGCTGTCCGTGGCGGGCGTACAATTGCTGCCGCTCTCGTAATTGTAAAGCCCGCAATTGAAATTGCCATTCACTGTTTCGTTTCACATAACAACAACCACAGATTTAACTTTAGAGTGCTGTCTTGAATGCAGCTATTTGAATGGTTAAAATACTCGTGTTCAGAATGTACAGGCACACTTTTCGTGCACTACTTGAAGATGCTGGCATCCGAGCTGAATAAGCGCTCCTCGAACGCAATTGAACATCACTGGTCGAAAATTCAACAGACTTTGCTAGCAGCCAGTATATCTTAATGTGGCAAATCAAATCGCCAACCTGGACATTGGGTCAGTACGCAGTCTCAGGAACTTATAGATGCTTGCCAACATGTCCCCGCTGATAGCGAACACAAGGAGACTCGCGAAGATTTCAGGGCGAAACTGGTTGCTAACCTGAAAAGAGACCGGGAAGTCTAGTGGCC